GAAGGAAGGAAGGAAGGAAGGAAGGAAGGAAGGAAGGAAGGAAGGAAGGAAGGAAGGAAGGAAGAACAAGGTGAAAATTCAAAAGGTAGGTATTAGTATGGACGTTCACCTTTTTTCTTTTTCTTTTTTTTTTTTTTCCAAAACAATATTTTTAACCGAGAATTTTCCTGTACAGATAGATTCCCTTTCTAATCTCAAATGCAGTAACTTCTTTTAAATTTGGAAAAAAAAAAACAAACAACAAACAAACCAAACCACCAAAAAATATCTAGTTGTGCATCTGATTTCTTTACTATTCTGGCGGCAGACGATGCAGGAGACTAAGCTTTGCTCTCCAACTTGGGCTCCCGCAATCCCCAGCAGCGGTGGAGGACACTTCTCAGAGCTCCGTCTCGGAAACCTTTCAGGGAAGGAAAATAGAATTTGTTCGCGGTGTGTCCCTGGGAGCCTGGGGGGTCAGGACAAGGACAGCATATGCTCCCAAGCTGCAGCCCGGGAAGGCGATATCTGGGGAGCAGATACTCCTGCCTGCAAAGACAGGACCGAGTGACGGCGTGGTGGAGAGGGCTGTTGGCATCAGAGGTGTAGCTCCGCATTAATATTCAGGTTGCCTTCTAATGGCCATTTCAGGTTAGAAGGAATCCCACTTCTACCCAAATTAAATCCTCGCCTTGTTCAAAGACTAATGTCCGGTACTGGCACGTTTCAGCCACTTTCGGACAGGCTTGGAAATATTTTAACTATTTAGTGACAGCGATGGGGAAACCTTATTTAAACAACCGGAGCTGGTGGGCAGTGGTACCTTTTCCTTCCTTCCTTCCTTCCTTCCTTCCTTCCTTCCTTCCTTCCTTCCTTTTTTCTCCCTTTCTCTCTTTCTTTCTTTATTTCTGTCTTTCTGTCTCTTTTTCTGACTTTCTGTCTGTTTTTCTGTCTGTTTTTCTGACTTTCTGTCTGTTTTTCTGTCTTCCTATCTGTCTTCCTGCCTTGATTAAATCGATATTTGACACTTCCTTCAGATCATTAACAAAGCCGCTAACTGAAAACGGGCAACTACACTGTATCACCATGTATTGTAACAATTTCTTTTAAGAAATTTTGTACCATAAACTCTTTATGCAGGAAGATTTTTGGAGTTCAGCTAATTATTAGCTAAACTTTGGTTATTCTATAACCTTTGTGCACATCAAACGCTAAACAAAATGTTACATATAAAATAGCAGAGATGATCATGTGGAT